TTTCTGTTATAATAAACTGACTGTTCATGACTTTCGTGGACTCTGATTGTAGTTGAGATTAAAAATACCCATAAATCAAAGTTGAAGTATTCAACATCATCAAGATGAGGAAACAACTATTTTTCTGTATAACAACACTATTCCATATTTTCCATATTAGAATTGATTCAAAATTATAGGTATTTATTACTCATCAGCTTAATATCTATAAATTCTAATGAAATGAAGAAAAAACGAAAGATTTATAGCGTTTTCCACTCGTCGATTCATAGAGCACCTTGTACCAAGAAACTGCAAGTTGTACTGACTCACTTACTTCATATAGTATCTGTTTCAGCCAAGAACAGTGAAAATCAAAAGTGATCATTTTAGTAGCCGCAAAGTCAACTTCTGTGATATAATTTCTACGCAAAATGTGTGTTTTTACACCAAATCTATATGAAACATCTCCAATGCAAGTTTTATTTCCTGCAAGGAATTTTCCGGTAGGTTTTAAGGTTTGGAAAATGCTGTTTATTACCGGAAAAATCACTTGTTTCTCCAACATCACTTGTATACGAAGAATGAATTCAAGAATCATCTTAAATTAATTTTCGAAAAATAGAGGACTACTTCAAGAATGGATGTTTTCCATGACTCAACTTCTATAAAATAGATAAGATATTATATTCCTCATCCACCCGATGATTCGAGTTTATGAGAATCGCACCGTTCCGAGTACGTTTCGGAAAATTCGAACTCTGAGCGAGCATCAAGCGAGTTTGCAAGCCAGTGGCATGCAGTTTGCTCTTGACTGTAAATCGGCTAGTGACAAACGCTATGAGCTATGAGAGTTCTGCAAATACATCAAAACAATGAGCCTACTTGTATTATTCAGTACAGAATTCTATGGTTGCTAAAATTTCAGTAATTCAAATATGAAATGAATGAAAACACTGCGCTTCAAAATGAACGCATAATTTATAATAATAAAATAAGACTGAATGTCTTCATCAAAGAAAAATAATGTACTGAAGATACAATCATTTGGAAGTGAAAGTTTATGGACACTTACTGATGAAAAAATAGCCAAGCCAAGAATCTGAGTGTTATATTGGATGAACTTCTACAACGCTTTCATATTCTCAATATTATTTCCTTACTGACTCAAGCAGCAAACTGTGCCATACTTTTCTAATGGCTTCCTAGACATTTTCTTGCCATTAGAAAAATACCTTTCAATTGATTTCCAAATCAACCCACTCCATTATCTATTTATAGTAGGTATAATATAAGTGTGAAACTGTATTCTTCAAAGATTTTTGAAAATAGATCATGACACAATAATTGTGAATATTGGTATTTTCCGTGTTACTTATTTCTGAATTACGATTATAGTTAATCACAGACTTGGTTTTTCTTCAATGGTAGATGAAACTCGTTATAGATCTAGTTTGGAGGCAAGCGTAGCCTCGTGGTTGAAGCGTCAGTATTCTATGAACGTTGGATTGCCAGTAGGTGGGTTCGATTCCTACCAGGGATCACACATTAAAAGGTAAGACCCCCGTCATTCTTTGCTCGTAACCGAATGATGGATATGAACAATTTTTTTTTAGAATTTTAGTTTCGGAATCGGATTGATAGGATTTTGTAGTAGAATTAATTTCAATACATTATTAGCTGTTATGCAGATATACTCTCGAAATCGATCCAATTAACTTATAGATTTCATTGTGTTTTATACTTTTCACTCTAACCGTCTCACCCGTTCCAATGTAAGTGTTGATGCTACAAAATTAATTGACCAGCTAAATAATATTGGAAAATTAGTCACAACATGAAAACCTAGAGATAATTATAAATAGTTATAAACTCTCTCCATGAATATCTCAGTCTTGAAATTTCAGGTATCCCATCATTTGTCAGTGGGACATCAATCCCATCACCGAATGGAAAAGTTGCAAAATTTTCGGTCAAAACGCTGAAACAAATCGAGGTTTGCCGAAAACCGCCACTGAAAAGTTGCCAAAACGTAGTATAAAACGACGGCAAAAACATCGGGAATGCAGCGTCGAAATCGGAAGCTCAGTTGAAATTTATTTTGTGTATGTAATTAAAATCCAATGAACATTGGAATTCCTTTGATAAGTAATTGAATCACAGATATATATATATATATATATATAGGTGACCAGCACACAATTTAATAACTTATGAAATGATTACTGCTCGGACTTTTTTATAGACTTGAATCTTATTGTGGAACTGTCAAAATCGTATGCACGATAATGTATGCTCCAGGAATTCAGATTTCATTGCATAATGTTAATGAAAAATACAACCATCCAACATAGGCACATTTTGCACCTGGAGCAGAAAGTAATTATGAACACACCTTGTCCTAAATGAATGTAATATGAAAATAATTGTGAGTACAACAGCAATAATTCAATAATACAGAAAGACAGATTACACCATATGGATTAGACCGATGAAAATGTGTTTGCTCTCAGGTTTTCAGTATAGAAATTATTCAATAGTAATATTCTTTTTACCAACTTTGACTGAGATGAATCAAGATTCTCAGTGCAGCTCAATAGCTCAGTTGTACTACATGTTTCATTTATCTTGGTCTGATATGAGTTGTCTTAAGAACTTATTGAGACTATTTCTTTCCCCTCACCCCAACTGAGCTTGCTATTCATCTGGTGTTGTAGTGAGAAAAAGGTGAGACTGGATTAATTCTAGTAATTCTGTGGTTCTGTGCTGAAAATTGTGAGGTTATATTTTCATTTTGACATGCTTTCAGCTTTGAAGTTTCAGTACACAGGTTGAATCCTTTGAATACTCACTACAATGATATTTCTATGCTCCTCATTAATTTCCTCAAATCCTCAGCCATTATACATTTTGGTTGAATTATGTTGGGTTGTGTTTTCTTCCCTTGCCCTTCCTGACAGATAAAAACGTGTTCTTTTTATTCAATCGAATACTCAGATCCGTCTCACCTCCTTCTAACTCAATTGATCTTAGTAGTGAGAATGTAACAAGGTAAAAAGAATATTGCTATTGATGAAGATTATGCTTACAAAAATAATAGAATTATTAATATTGATAATATTAAAGATAATACTGATAATAATTATAATAATAATAAAAATAATAATAGCCATTATTATTCCCAAGAATGTACATGATTATAACAGGAAAATAAAGAAATATGATATAAGTGTAAATACAATCAGCGGCAAAAAAACTGGCTTAATAATAACTGCTTAACTTTGTTAAGTATTTCAGGGTGGCCGTTTTTTTGTCCGTGAATCTATATACACTTTGTCCAAGGCAAGGAGTGCCAGTGTTGGCATCTAGGAAACTACATGAGATACAGATTAGATTAAATGATAAAAAAGTTGCCTATTGAATCACCGATGAAATGACATTCAAAAATCTCTGACACGGCTTTTCGTTTTCGTGTTATTTCCAAGAAAGAGAATTTCAAGAATCAAAAATTTCAATTTCTTCAGACTAACTCAAAAACGGAGAATCATATCAAAATTTCCGAAAGCCATTTTATTGGGCTTCTAACACAGTGTTTAAATGGATTAGAAATAAATGATATTTCAAGCTTTTATTCCAAGCATTAATCTCACGCTAATACGGACGCAAAGTTCTCAGAACTCCAACTCTAAAATCGAAATTTCATTGGGAATAACAATGGTATTGAAACGAGCAAAAACTCATGTTTTCCTTGACGAATCTGCCACCTGACACCTGAATTTCGACGAAACTTTTGAAATTAGGAAGATAGTCTTAATCGGCATAAAAAAATGGATGTGGAAACAAACATACATGAAAAATTCCACGGAATCTGTCAGATTCACTGTCAGTGGTAGAGAGTTAAGACTATTGAATATATATGTGAATTAAGATTTTTTCTTTTAAAGCGCACGATATGGAAACCCTATTACGTTAAGAACATCGTGCTCTGCCGTTTTCTAGACTATAGGCAAACGAATTTTGGAACCATTATAGTAATAAACGTTACACAGCCGATATGTAGCAAATAACGAATGAGGTTGAATATTGTATTATAACAACCGATTTTGCGTATCGGCCGTGTGTTGCTCAAGATTTTTCACAATCCCGCTGAAAGATTACATTATTTCTTTAATAGAATCATCACTCAAATAATTTTGAATTCAATATTTTGTGAGATTTTTTCGGTCGTTATCTAGTGCTTAAATCATCAATAATGGCACGGTGATTTTCAGATGGCTAGATATTTACCGCCAGTAAAAACTGACGTCATGATTTCATAAGTAGGGGCAGACCATAGCACAGTTGCCATGTGTTGAAATACGATTGGGAACTTCAGAAATATTAGTTATTCAATAATTATTCATAAATTCTCAATTATACTGGTAATATTCATAATTAGCAATAAAAATCAATTGTCTCAAAATTTTCCCTTATGATTTGTGTCTTATTGCTTGTAATGAATTCGTGTGAATCATAATTATATCTAGAGGACATTGGAAACGGTGAACGTCACAACACGGCGCGAGAATTGTGGGCATGGTCTTGTCACTTCTCAGCATTCAGAACAATGTTTCCAAATCTCCAACATTTACATGATATTTTGTTATGGAGTATAAGAAATATTTGGGCATGCTGGTTGCTCGAGAAACTTAAGAATGAACTATAACATCATGTGTTCCTCAACGTTTTATTCAACGGCAGGACTCTAAGTTTTGCAAGGATTAAATTAGGTCCCTAACCACAAAGGATTTCAAAGGATTTTTATCATATTATTATTCTGTTTATAAATCATTTATAACTATGCCTTCATTTTGGAGCACAGTGTACCAATGAAAGTTTTTAAAGAAAACCATATTTTTTAAATAAATCTAAAAGTAAAATACAATAATTTTTAAATATTCCATGAGGTCTTTTTTTAATGAACAAAAGCACCAAGAATATTCTAGCGAACTCTGTATTTTCGTACAAAATTACCAACTTACTTGTGAATTGAATCTTTGGCCACATCCTTCAACTATACAACGAAACGGCTTTGTCCCAGCATGGGCCAAGACATGTCTTTCCAACCATGACCTTGAGCACGAAGTTCTTCCATGCACCTTACAGCCTAACCACAAGCACACATAGTGTTCTTGTGTTGTTTGAGATATCACATGTTTAACCTGGAAACAAATAAACAATCGACTTACTAATGGAGGTTGTTCTAAGACATTATTGATTTCAGGGGTTATTATTTCGCGACCTTTGGTTTCCACGTCTTGAAAAATATCGTCAATTTGGTTCCAAATATCGTTAGTCTCTTTAACATAAATTTCAATACCAGACAATGCATTGGCATTTGCGTTTAATTTCCCTTTTCATAGATGATAGTGTAGTCGAACTCTTCTAACTTGATTCTCCAGCAAAGAAAGGCCATTGGAGTGGTTTGTGATCACTGATGATGTTGAATTTTCTACCGAGTAACTAAGGACGAGAATATTTCGAGTAACTAAGGACGAGAATATTTCGTAGCACATACAATGGCAAGGAGTTCTTTTTCTATATCAGAATAGTTTTGTTCTGAATCGTTTAGGGTTCTCGATGCGTAAGCGACAGGCCAGTCGCTACCGTTCGTACCTTGTGATAGGATAGCTCCGATTGTAAAATTGTTTGCGTCTGTCGTTAAATTGAACGGTTTTGTGAAATCGGGGTACTTCAAAATAGGCTTGTTTATGAGGAGAATTTTACAAGTGGCAAAACATGAAAGAAACTCGTCATTATGTTCTATCTTCGCGCCCTTTTTTGAGCTTGCTGAGGGGTTTCGTGATGTTTGAAAAGTTATTTATGAACCGACGGTAATAAGAGACCTAGGAAACCTTTTATTTGCTTTGGTGTGTTAGGTACAGAAAAATTCTTGATTGTATTTTATTCGGGTTTGGCTTAACTTCATCTGGTGTAACTACATGACCCAAATAGGCGACTTCTTTTTGCAGTAATTATCTAATATTTTTTTTATTTTCTTTATGATAATACCTTTCACGCTTTCAACATATGGCCATATATGTATCAATAAACAATACGGATCATAACGGGTGCCAGGATGAAGCCAAAAATATGAAACAAATGAATATCCATAAGGATTTGGTGGCATGATACGCATGCGCCATGCGCTATTATAGTAGTCATCAAAGACATGCGTTTCGGTGGACAATGACGTTTACTAGCCTTTCAATCAAAGCAGTATGTGTCTGATCGTTTCAAAACATTTCCTTATGGATAGTCATTTGTCTTCAAAAATCGGCTTCATGTTTCGCTATTGAAACAGATTGAGATTATCCGTATTGATTATTAATACGTATATGCATATGGCGCGCGACTTGAATAATTGGCGAAGTCGTGGCTGGTTTCACACTGATGGGATTTCATGCCTATGAATGTCTTCAGATGACATTCTATGAAATTAACTTGTCATCCAAGCCAAAAGGAAGAAGAAGAACTAGAATTGAGGTTATATCTCATGTGCCATATGGCATATTTGCATATTTTCATAATGATCATTTTCTTTGTTGGATTGACTTGTAATAATATCAGTGATAACAAATTTCCCATCGATTCTAAAGTTTTTATCAGGTACTTTACTATAGATCCTCATAAAATTATTTCAAAGAAGGTTAAAATACATTCATCATGCATTAATCAAACGCTATTTCACAAAATGATTACAAGAAGAACTTGCAACAAAATTAGGAGGAATTAAGAAACAAATGTAAGTGTAAGTACCTAAATCAAAACATTGATAGAAGGTAGTGGACATGAAATATTAATACATTTGTTTCAGGAGGTAATTGGGCGCCTAAAATGTAAGAAACACATGCCTGCCCTTTATTTAATTTGATTTCAAAATGTACTCAGGTTTTCTTGAAAACTGAAATTTTCCAATATTTGGAAAATGTCCTTTTTGTGCTTTGATTATCTGTGAATTTGTTGACAAAAATTACTCCCGATGATGGCTTGTAGCTGAACACTTTTGAGAAATTGCTCCTTATAAAGTCTGTATAGTATGCCTTCGTTTTTCTGTATATTACAAAGTACACACAACCTTACCCTTTGTTTTACATGTTTCAACTTTCAATCCCCTATTCTCCTGAGACAACCCCTCTATAAGTATAATACATCATTGTGAAGGTAATATAATTCTGACACTATCAGTGCAGACATTTTCCAATTTTAATGAGCCGTCTGGAGATATTCCAGGTCAAATATCATTGATACGGATCTGGATGATGATTTGAAACAAATCTGAATGATTATTGATTGGAAAGAAGAATCACAATTTAATGTCCAGGCAATTACAAGATAATAATTTGAAAAAGTGCATCAGGAATAGTCTGCAAATTGACTCTACCACTCTTTGGCAGTCAATGAACCTCCATTTCTTTTTTTTAACTCTTGGAACGCAGGAATACATTCTTAATGACCCATTTCGTTCATATTTCCTTACATTTTTTCACAAAAAATAGAAAATTGTACCACTAGAACTCAAATATCTAGACAACACTTCGTTGAAACCAAAAAAACAGATGTATTTCCCGTTGAAATTATAGAGAGGGATTGTTTGGGCAGCAAGGTAATACCCGTTACCTCAAACTCAGTAGGTATCTCACCAAAATAGGTATTGCATCATCATGGCGCTAAAGTCTATAGAGAATTGAGCTGATTCATCTACCTAGACTTGAAACAATTTGCCCCTACTCAAAATAAACATAAAGTTGGGAACATAGTCACGAAACTGTGAATATCTTACCTGTAGATGTTCTAATAAGGCCCCACTGGTATCAAATCGACAATCGCAATCGGCCCATCTACACAAACCGTCCGCAGACTGCTGCGGCGATTTTCCCTCATCCTTATCGACCTGCTTGGCCGGAAACCTGATCGTCTTCGGCTTCGAAAGGATCGGAGACTTCTGTTCATCGAGTACCACAATATCACTAATACTAACTTCCAAGCACTCTTTATTCGATATCCCGCTATCGGAATCGGTCGGCGTAGGAGAAGAGTCATCTTTCCGCGACACATCCTCCTTCCTATGCGGCTCCTCTGTCCTTGAACTCTCCTCAACCCGGCAAACTGCAGGACTACTCGAACTTTTCACCTTCGGCGTCGAAAAAGTGGTGAGGGGGAAACTTTCAGGCAGGATATTGCTTTTGTTCAGCCTCGGTTTGGCTGTGAGCACGGTAGGCACCGCGGTCTCCACGCTTAAGGCTACATTTGGTATGATGTTTGGAGCGTTCAGATTCGTCAAGTTGGCAGACCCGTTCAATCTCGAAGGCAACGCGTTGACTTTGACGATAGGCACTACCGTCGCATTTAATTTGACACAATTGAAGTTGTTTATAGCGGTGAGCAGGGGCATTTTGTCGTTGGGGATGGCAGTGAACTGCGGCACGAAGATAGGACTAGCGTCGGGAGGTTTCGGTGTTTTCGCGTGTAGATAAGTGTAGTTGGAGGGAAAGCTCAGAGCAGTAAGGGTGACCGTAGGCGAGTACTTGGCAATGTTGTTCAACTGATCGTTGATGGATATCTTCTCGGGCATGTTGCTGGGAGCCGGCAGAATCTTTCTAGGTACCGGAGACTTCTTCAGTTTCGATTGCACTCCTTTGCGAACGCTTGGGGGTTTCCTCATTTCCTTGCGACTTTTCACGCTGTACTGCGTTTGCTGGTCGACGGTGGCTTTGGAAGAGGCAGGTTTCTTGTTGTACTGGAAGAGGTCCTTTCTGATGCCGTTCAGTCGCACCTGCGACTTGAAGTACTCCGTGATCTTGCCTTGTTGCAGCTTGTTGGCTTCGAACTTCTTCGCCCGATTGTTGTTCGTGCTAGGGACGATTCTGACGTAGTGCGGGGGGGAACTGCAGTAAGAAAAGATTTGATATATATAACCAACATGATGGGTTCTATAATGAATTCATCATTGATATTGATTCGCACGATCGAGACTGTCGCATGGTCTCGTCTAGTTTTCTAGTGAATTTCAAAAAGAGACGATTACATTCCAAAAGATATTTCCTGAAATACAAATGACGCTTTCTGAAATTCAATTGATTATTCCGAAATGCAATTGACTCTTTCTGAAATTGAACTGACTATTCTGAAATAAAATTGATGCTTTCTAAAATTGAATTAATTATTCTGAAATGCAATTGTCGCTTACTAAAATACAAGTGACTATTCTGAAATGAACTGGTCAACATTGATAATGTCGTGGTCCAAAATATAGCCTGAATTCAAAGTTGAACAACTCACGAATTTCATTACCAATTTGAAATCGGTTTTCACCGATGATTAGCCTAATCTCTTGACAGTTTGTTGTGGCAATATGAAACTTTTGTAATTTCAGATAACATTGCTACAGGGTGATAATTAAATGGGTGTAAAATTGCATCGTGGTCGTCATCTTACCGTTTGAACAGATAATTTTTCTCATTTTTTTTCTCACCTGTATCCTCTTGATTGATGCTTTCTCTCGAAACATTTTCGGAATTTTCTAATTCAGAGCTTTGATAATTGTGTTATGAACATTCATTCAAAATTATGCAATTTTTCGACGATTAATTGAATGAAATCGGAAGTTGGAATTCTTTTTCGAAGAATCAACGTTGTACGTATAGTCCTCGAATATTTGATTGTGTTCGAACACAGAAAATTCTGAAGAAGTCTATAAAAAGTTATACAAGATATACTGAATGATGGAATGGAGAATAACGTAGTCTTCAGTAGATGAAACATAATTTTCTCTGTGTTACTAGTGAAATAATGGAGTGTTACTTCGTCATGAGGATGTCTGGTGTCTGACCTCGAAATGATTTTGTGATTTCTCGGATCGAAGGTCATATAATGAAGGTATGCATTTTCAATCAATATGATGCATTTTCGTTGATATAAATTATAAAAATTCAAAGAATTACGATTGTAGTTTCAGAAGTATGAAATTTATATTTATTCTTGACGATGGATATACAAGGTGCGATAAAAAATATGTCCAGATTAGTCCAGGGTGGAGAAGAATATGTTTAAACGTGATGAAAATCGCTATATTCCCGAAAAGAAATATAGTGTCGGTCATTGTCGGAAATAATTGTGAAGTGTATACATTTTCATGAGGCTTATACGAGGAAATATGAAAGAGACTGCAGAATTGCCATTGGTTCGATAAAATGTTTTTCATACTAAATCATACTAATGAAGATAAATACAGTAACACGACGTTATCAATGTTGACCAGTTAATTTCGAGCCACCTCCTATACAGTCACTTACCATGCTCACCATGGGTATCTTTTTAACGGTGAGAGATACGAGGTCGGTTAAATGACACCAAATGTGGAGTTTGTCAAAGCCAACTATAATGTGAAAAAATATTCTGATAAAATCTATTCGTTTTTGTTTTATACGCAAAAAACAGATTTTGATCATTTTCATGTCTCTTCCGTAACTTCTTTATTTATGAAAATATTCAAATAGGAATTTCACATTCTCATGGCAGTTTTTTAAAGTGATTTCGAAAAAAATATGAAATTTTCACCAACTCTTCCAGAATTTGAGATATCAGCACCAACTTTAATTTTTCAAATATAGGTCCAAGCTCACTATGACTTAGTTAAAAATAACTTTTTTAACTCTTACAGATGATATGTCGCAGTAATAGTTTTGTGTTGATAACAACGGAGTTATCGTCATTTATACAAAAACTAAAAATTATTTGGAAGCCACCATCTTGAATTTATGAATTTCAACAAGAAAATCATAATCTCCGACTTCAAAAACCCCCACTTACCAATTTTGAATGGAATCGGACCAAATCTTGTCCGCCATCTTGGAGCAGCCATCTTTTTTAATTTCAACAAAAATTCCATAATGTATTGTCACCGAAATCAGGAACACCTGCCAAATTTCAAGTTAATCGGAGTTATGGAATTTTTGTTGAAATTGAAAAAAATGGCTGCTCCAAGATGGCGGATAAGATTTGTTCCAATTCCATTCAAAATTGGTAAGTGGGGATTTATGAGGTCGGAGATCATGATTTTCTTGTTAAAATTGGAAAATTCAAGATGGCGGCATCCAAATAATTTTTGTTTTTGTATAAATGACGATAACTCCGTTGTTATCAACACAAAACTATTACTGCGACACATCATCTGTAAGGGAAAAAGAAGTTATTTGTAACTAAGTCATAGTGAGCTATGACCTACATTTGAAAAACTAAAGTTGGTGCTGATATCTCAAATTCTAGAAGAGTTGGTATAAATTTCATATTTTTTCCGAAATCACTATGAAAAACTGCCATGAGAATATGAAATTCCTATTTGAATATTTTCATAAATAAAGAAGTTACGGAGGAGACATGAAAATGATCAAAATCTGTTTTTTGCGTATATAACAAAAACGAATAGATTTTATCAAAATATTTTTTCACATTATAGTTGGCCTTGGCAAACTCCACATTGGGTGTCATTTAACCGACCTCGTATCTCTCACCGTTAAAAAGATACCCATGGTGAGCATGGTAAGTGGGACACACTGTATATACCTAGTATTCTCCTTCTGTGTGGGCAGGCGTATCGTCTGTTCGGGCAGGAAGGCCGCCTTCTTGGCGGGCGGCGGCCCTTCTGCGGTCCACGGCCAGGGCGGGTGATGGGCGACTTGGGGCGGCGTGGGCGGCATCTTAGCCGAGCCCGAGTCCTCGGAATGCGTGGAGGCGGTGCTGAAGGGGGAGCCGGGCTCGGTGATGTCGCTCGACGAGGTGCTGCTGGCGCTGCAGTCGGTGCAGCTCAGGGCTGCCACGCCACTGGAAAACACAACAAGGAAGAAGATTAGACATCATGTTAAGAGTGCCTCGAACATCTCATCTCACGCCGTTGCAAAACTTTTTTGTTCATTCTCAATTATCTGTTATTGGAAAGGAATATTCCGAGGAATATTCTCAGATATGTTTATGAACACAAAAAAATGGATGTATATATATAAAGAAATGCATTGAGAATTCGCATTCTCCATGTGATACAAATATTAATTCTTTCTCGGTTTATTCAATAGAAAACAACTACTTTTCTGGCCTCGCCTGGCTATATGCCACGACGAACATTGAATTACATCTATTGCACACGATAAGAATTTGAAAACAAAACCTTCTCTGTTATGTATACCCGTTTATACACGAGGGGTAAACCGCGGTGGCATCCTGGTGTAATTTCCTTGGCATTCCTTGGATTTCCTTGGAATTCCTTGGATTTTCTTGGAATATCTTGGAATTCTCTGGAATTCCTTGGGTGGAATGCGGTTACAAACAACTAGAATTCCTTGGATTTCCTTGGAATTCTTTGGATTTCCTTGGAATTCCTTGTGAAATTAAAGTTTGGTGTACACAATTTTGACCGCGGTTTACCCCTCGTGTTAACCTGTCAAGAGTAGTGCATGTAACAGGAAATAGTATATTACATTCCAAGGTGGAAACTGTTACATTACTCGAAACAGTGTAATTTTCTCTCAAATTTTCTACTACTGAAAATGTATGAAAATTACTATGCAATCTTCTATTTTGGGTCGAATATCTTGAAAGCTGTTGATTTTTAGCACGATTGAAGGTGATGCATTTTTCAAACAAAATTGACCAATGAATTTGAGAAATTGAAATTAAACGAAATTTCATCAGTAGCGTAGAAAATTTGAGAGGAAAAATTACCACAACCCCCTGTTGCGCACCACTGGATAAAATGTCCGGAATGACATTCTGGTCAAACAATAACCCATTCAAAGATGAAACCATATACCGAATTTGAATGCAATATATTCAATTATTCCAGAGTTATTACGAATATAATGAATAAACCGAGGAACTATTTTTATTTCTCAACTTTCACACCCTGTATCTCGAGTAGTATCTCAGTAATTATGAAATCAGGAGCGCTATCACCTGTCAAGCGTTGTAAGTCGAATTTCGAAACACCTGACACCTCGCGAAAAACCCTGTATTATTATGATACTGTCTTGGATACTGTCATTGGTATGGAAAATGACTGATTCAAGTTCAAGTTTCCCAAGTGATACTAAGAAATACACCACAAAATGCACTATTCTCTTCGTCTATCCATATTTTTATTACGTAACTCGAGAGGTAACTGGCGAGGTAACTGGTGTTGAAATGAACATTACATCACCAGTTATGTAATATTTTACTTAACGTAACTGGCTGCCTGAAGAAAGACGTTTCAAAGCTTCCGTCAGGTTTGAAACTCTTGGAGTCCATCATCAGCCAAAAGTTTAGATATTCATTTTGTAAGATGATAGAATTTGAACTTAGGCAATGAACAGAAACATTAGTAACAAGGATGAGGTGAACATTGGCAAAACGACATTCATGACATAAAAGAAATATTGTTTTACGAGTGTCGAAAGTTGGGAAGACAGTTACAGTCCATGAAACGTGAGAACATTTTAACGTTCACGAGCTTCAAAAAATGTTTTCAACGAGTGAAAAACTATACTTACTCTACAACGCCGTTTATATCACAATCAAATTATGCTTCTTACAACGCTCATTACGTAATATAGTAATTCTAATTTCCTACTCCATACGCGAATTAAGTGCTACCTTCGCTGCTACCGATTTCTTTCATTATGATACAGATTCTGACCAATGATGATGACACGCACTCTTCATACACTTGGGTATAATCAAGTGGGTCTATGTTTCAATCTCACTTGCTTGAGTTGTTTGAAATTCAGTTTCAATTGACTATAACAAAATGTCACTTATTTAACTTTCAGCACTAGAAACCGAGCTAGACATGAAAGTTAACGCTATGAGAATTTTTCTCACTTCGCTTTTTTTACGTAAAGATATGTCTTTCCGTGAATGGCTGTAGAAAAATTATATCAAGCTGGTCGAAAAAACTGAAGGAAATTGTCTCGGATATTGTATTTTTGCTATTAAGAAATGTATCTTAAAAACATGTGGTATGGCTATGAATACCTAAATGTATTTGAAAATATCCCTCGTTTTTATCGATCAGTTTATATGAAGGACCACAGTAGTAGTCAAACGATAAAAGGAGAAATTGAAAAACATTCTCTAACAAATTGACTGAATTGTTTTTTTGGCAGATAATAGAAGACTTTTTCATGAGAGAAATTGAGGAAGAAATGGTTCAAGTTCAAAACAATAACGGTTACCAAATAGCTCTTATAGAGTTATATTCATCCGAGAAATCACCAATATTATTGGAGGAAGTATAAACCCAATAATTCTCCAATGTTCCGAAATTCTCATCAGGATAAAATGTCGCTAAGTGGTAAACCGCGGTCAGAATTTTGTACACCAAATTTCGATTTCACAAGGAATTCCAAGGAATTCCGGTTGTTCGTGAACCAGAATTATACTGCTTTCCACACAAGAAATTCCAAGAGACTCCAAGGAATTCCAGGGAATAAAAAAATCCATGGAATTCCAAGGATATCCAAGGAATTCCAAGGAAATCCAAGGAATTCCAAATCAATTCATGGCATTCCAAATAAACCCAAGGAATTTTAAAGAAATCCAAGGAATTCCAAAGAAATCCAAGGAATTCCAAGGAAATCCAAGGAATTTCGAGGAAATCCAAGAATATCTCAGGGATTCCATGGAAATTTAAGAAATTTCAAGAACATCCAAGGAATTCGAATGAAATCCAAGGAAATTCAAGGAATTTCAAGAAATTCCAGGGCAATCCAAGGAAATCAGAAGAATTCCAAGGAAATCAGAGGAATTCCAAGGAATTACATTTGTTGTTTGTAGACCAGGAATATACCGAAATTCACCTAAGGAATTCCAGGAAATTCCAAAAAAATTCGAGGAACATGGAATTCCAAGGAAATCAAGGAAATTCCAAAGAATTCGAGTTGTTTGTAAACCAGAACTCCACCGCGGCTTACCCCTCGGGATTCGCTGACTACTTTGTGCAATTTACTATGCATTAAAATTATTTGGCTCAAGAAACTCTATAGACAACTGATTTCTTCATCAACGGAATTTTATCTTGGATATTAACAAACGTTTAATGATTATTATCTTTAGCATAAAGGAAATATTATTACTGTTGTTGTAACGGAAACAATATTATTATAAACTTTGTCCAGATAAGGTCTCGGTATGCTCATGTATCAAGAGGTGCAGATTGATCGTTTATTTGAAACTCCATTTGAAATGAGGTGTCTGAAGAAATCGTATTCGGGGAGAATAAGCAACCAACAGGTAGGTATCAGCAGAATGCATGTGTTTCGTAGTCGCTGATGTAGAAACGGCGAACAGGTAATAATCGCAGACGCAGACGTAACGCAAAGTAGAAACAACAAACCGAGAACCGAGAACAGATGATTAGCCTGATGCATTCAAAATATTCCATTGAATAAAACGTAGTCATGCACGAAGCCAGCTGAATACTCTACTGAATACAATGACCTGGTGTACTTTGAATAATTGTTACGACATCCTCTGCTTTATTTTTTCATTGGCAAATGAAGTGCTTGCTCTCCTAGTCTCTGATCTGACATGTATGGTGTAGGTGTAGTAAAAGTGCATGGGTAAAGGAGTATTCGCGATAGAAAATAAGCCTACGCCACCTATCGAAGTTTTTGAAAGCTCTGAAGGGGTCTGCTTACTTTGTTTCTATTGGTTCACATTCGTTTTTCGTTTCTGATTATTGGTCAATCCTTCAAAACAAACCTCTCAGGAGTGTTCAAATTGTTGCCGCCAGATGGGGCGAGGTGTTATTTTTTATCGCGAATAGTGGTGGTACTAGTTTTCAAGCGAGCTGTCACCGAAATCAAATGACAGCGAGATTAAAAGTTATCAGTATAACAAAATGTCAATACAAAAATACCGAGTAAAAAACATCATCATTGTGCATCTATAGCTTTAGGACAGTAAAATTTTCCGAGCAATTTTCGTTAACTGATGTTTGAGTAAAAAAATTGGGTTGTGGTAAAATACTAGAATTTAAATATTTATTGAACGAGGAAAAAAAGTAATAGTGGTTGTGTTGTGAGCCAAAATCTAACAATTTTTTCTGTGACGGGAAAAAAGTTTGGCATTTCATCTCTGTTGGCAGGTTATAAAATGTCACTCTTCATAAATTACTTTTTTCCCGTGGGGAAAAAAGTGAGTACTTTTTTCCCGGATATATATCACATATATAAACACTGTTGATGGCTTTCGTTGTGCTATATATTGTTACGAAAAATGAGTCAATAATACCGTCTCCGAGAAAGAACTGCAAGTCCTTTTATCTTCCATTCGACTTCGCGGTTATGTATATTACTAAACAATCACTGAATTCGCAATTTTTTGAAATCAAATCACAGAATTAGACTGATAGAAGTGACATCAGATATTTGATTACTTCAAATGAATGATAAAGATGCCTACAACGTGGTGTCCCTACTGTTAAAAACTTAAAATTTCACGTCGATAATTTTCAGATTCCAAAATAATGTAATAACTTCTCAATATTGATTCGTCCTTCCTTCTGTCACAGAAAAAAATAGTGTATTATACACGGGAAGAATATTCGATTTTAGCTCACGGTTTTTTGTCACAACCTGGAGCTAAAATCTACTACTTTTTTCCCTTGTATAATAAATAACTATATTTACTGTATTATACACTTTTTTTGTGACAAAAAAAGGGCGAATCAATATTGAGAAGATATTACATTATATAAAAAACCGAGTAAAAAACAGAAAATTATCGACGTGAAATTTGAAGTTTTTGAAAGCAATAACACCTGCGTTTAAGGCATCTTTTCGCAGGCCTC